TTCTCGATAACCATACAAAGTATTACAACAATGTGTCTGAATCCACCATCTTGGCAACATGTGCCGCTACTCCTATCCAATATGATGAGGGGGTGCTAGCTGGGCCACTACCCAAACCACTCACCTAAGCCTAACATCAAAAGCCGGAAGCCGAAACTCATTCGGTAACCCCAGCCGAGCCACATACTGGGTCTGGGGCGTAATCCGGTCAGACGCACTCGTGTGTCGTCGCCGCCATCTTCCACAGGTCCGTCTTCAGATCAAATTGAGGCTTCTACCTTGTCTAGCCAGTCTGCCATCGACGTCCCCATGACGCCAGACAGCTTCCTCCTCCTGCACGAGTCCATCTCCGCGCATCAGACGCCGAGTCTCCACAGCACCATGCCGCCGAGATCCGCCATCATCAATGTGAAAGATGAAGCACCGCTCCACCAACGTCGCCGTCCTCTAGACAGCGCCACCACCTTGCAGAGCGGAAAGATACAATGGCGATGGAAAGCAAGAGCTAGGACGAGGAGGGTACCACCGCCGCCACCCCCCGCACCCCAACAGCGCCCACCGACCACCAAGCTCCCTAAACGGCGCCTTCAAGAAGGATACGACGCCGATGGCGCCGCCGCCGCCCAACAAAGTTGGAGCTTTCGCCCGGGAGAACTAGGGGAAGGGGGAGTGGGGGGATCAGACCTGTCAGACGCCTCCAAGGAGGGACACGGCGCCCTCAGGCGTCGCCGTCGACGCAGCCGAGCATGGTCGGCCATGGCTTTCGCCCGGACTGGATTCCCCACCACTAGCACCACCAGCGCCGGCGTCCCATGGAACACGAGCGGGCCGGATGGGGGAGAACACGCCGTACAGGGAGGAGGGGCGCCAGATCTGGCGCCGTCGCCCTCGTCCTCCGAGATTCCGCCGCCCGCGCGGCCAAGAACGCCGGAACCAAACGCCCGCACCACCGCCCGCCGCTAAGCCGGTGGTGCCTCACCAGAGGGGCCGCCGCCCCAGATCCGAATGCCCCCGCGGAAGCAGAGCAGCAACTTGCCCCGCCGCCACCTTCCTTGGCGGCGCCCCGGACTTGCCCGGAGACCGCCTCTGGCGGCGGCGAGGAGAGGTGGGGGTGGAGGAGGGCTGGGCGCGGCTAGGGTTGGCGGCGGCGAGGAGAGGTAGGGTTGACCAAGGCCTGATGATCATCCAAATATACATGCAAGATCGGTCAGCCCCGAAACTCCCACGAGATTAAGGGTACGTAAAAGAGCAACCTGCATTGCATCAAAATGAATTTTGATGGTGTGCGTGCGTACCTCTCCAAGCACGAAGTCCTCGGCCGGCACGGCATCGCCAACGTCGTGCTTGGTCATGCGGCCGCGCATCCACGGGTCGCAGGAAAGGTACAGGTTCTTGACCACCACGGCGGGCGTCGGCCCCTCCGGCACCCGCAGCCGGACGTCGGAGGTGACGACCACCTCCATGTCCTCCGCCGTCGGGTAGCCTGTCACGTGCCTCCTCAGCACCACCTTCCTGTTCGTCGTCACCTCGTCGCCATGGCCGGCCATGTCGATCTTCGTCGGGCTAGCCTATTTATGGCGCTTGGAGCTCTTTAAGCCTCAGGGTTTGGCAAGTGCTAAGATACTGATGTGCTATGTCTCCGTGCGAGTGCAAATGCGCGCTACGCTACGGTTTATATAGACGAAGCTCATAGTGAGTGTGTAGGACAGACAGGCGACGGGTTGATGTGTGTATTGTACGCGTGCGTCACCCGTGACGGCATGACTTTGCCCCAAATATATTTCTTGCCATTTTCTTCACGTTGCAAGTTAGACCTGCACATCCCGTACGTCAAAAGCGAAAAGGTTAGATCTGCAAAAAAAAGAGGCAATTGCATGACACTCACACGTCATGACACACGTATGTGCATTTCCCATATATATCATTGAAACATGGGTGGCACAAGACAATACCCCCAACTTACAGTTATGCTAAGGGATTTTTTCTTCAACAATCAGCCTATGGGGTTATGTGGTTGGATGATTAAAATGATGGTTATTTACTCCGAGCCCATTAGAAATTAAATCACATCTCTAACATCATTTACGTCTCGTTAAGGCAAAATACACTTAAGATGGGGCGGAAATCCAGAGGGGCATGCACGTGTTGGAGCACGCATGCATTGGTAGGTACATCAGTGACCAGTGACTGCACGGCAGTGGTAGTACCATGAGTAGTAGTAATTATATACTAAGAGCAACTCTAGCAGAGTCGTCATATTCATAGCTTGCATAACGCATATGGAGCACGCTCCATAATGTTTTAGTGCTTGCGGAGGCTGTGCGCAAACATAGAGTTCCCATAATGTGGCCTCCATAATGTATTCTCTGTTTCTTCTTTCTACTCTACTACTCCAATTGAGATCAAACAATTCAACAAATATCATTACAAACCATTAAACTGAATACAACAAATAAGCCAAATGCAACAAATAATTTAATCAATTTTTTAGGAAAATAAATAAATTTAAACACACTATCTCCCAGCTAGCTTCTAATGATGCTCAGTGAGATCCTCCTTCTGCTGGTCATGGGAGGCCCGGTCTTCAATCTTTCGGTGTGTCTCAAGAAATGTTTGAATGTCGTTTGTGTGTCGGCAAGGCGAGACGATTGTACCAACATTTTCATAGTCCATGGGGCTTGGCACGTCCGTCCCATCCTCCATGATAATGGTGTGTAGGATCACACAATATTTCATGATAGTTTCCAAGAATCCTTGTTCCATAAACGAGCATGACCCCAGACAATTGCAAACCTAGCTTGTAGCACTCCAAATGTTCTCTCAGTGTCCTTCCTCGCTGGTTTTTACACCTTTGCAAAATACTTACATTTCTTAGTATGGGAGTTAGAAATTATCTTCACAAATGTTGACCAAGATTGATATATATCATTGACTAGATATTAGTTTTGGTCATTGATAGTCTCCAATGTATCTATAATTTTTTATTGTTCCATACTGTTATATTATGATTTTTGGATGTTTTACGATCATTTTATATCAACTTTATATATTTTTTGGGACTAACATATTGACATAGTGCCTGGTGCTAGTTGCTGTTTTTTGCTTGTTTTTTTTTACTTCGCGGAATATTAGTACCAAACGAAGTCCAAACGCAGCGAAACTTTTTGGAGATTTTTTTGGACCAGAAGACAACTTGGGAGCCAAGGAAGTGGACAAGGGAAGGCCCAGGCGCGCCCTGATGGGTGGTGGGGCTCACGGAGCTCCGCTGCACCGCCTCTCAGCTCTATAAATACCCTAATATTTCAGAAACCCTAGGGGAGTCGACAAAACAAAATTCCAGCCGTCGCAAGTTCCAAAACCACGAGATACAATCTAGAGCCCTATTCCGGTACTCTGCCGGAAGGGAACACGATCATGGAGGGGTTCATCATCCTCATTGGTGCTCCTCCGATGATGCGTGAGTAGTTCACCGTAGACCTACGGGTTCGTAGGCAGTAGCTAGATGGCTTCTTCTCTCTTTTTGATTCTCAATACAATGTTCTCCTCGATATTCCTCGATATTCTTGGAGATCTATTTGATATAATCACTTTTTGCGGTATCTTTGTTGGGATCTGATGAAGTGCGAGTATATGATCAGATCTACTTATGAATATTATTTGAGTTTTCTTTAATCCCTTATATGCATGATTGTTATAGCCTCATATTATAAGATGTTATATGTAACATCTTATATTGTGGATGGAGGGAATAGATGCTAATAGCATCGCAGATCCTGCTTGCTTGCATGCTCTTTCAGGTTTCTACCGTGTTCCTTGCCTCCTCCTGGAGACTTCAAGCTGGAGCTAGCATAGTTATATGCTGGACGTCGGCTATTGTCGCTGCCAAATCGTAAGAAATCTCCTAACATGTCAACTGAAGAGAATATGAGCTTGAGAACCTGGTGCGGCATAATTTATGTTGTAGGATATTATTTGCTGTTTGCAGGGATGGCATTTTCTCCCTAGTGTATGATGCAGATGAAAGCAGATTTGTAGGTCTGCACCGCTGCAGTATTCAGTTCCAGATTCCTCCTTGAAACGCGTCAGTCCTCCATCAGGCTCTTATCCAGGAACAGCCGGAAAAAGGAACTGCTGAGGATAAAGTATAAAATCACAATTGTCTAACGATATAAATTTAGTGAAAGTGGGAAAATGAGGTTAGGGAATGGGGGTGGGATGAAAGGGAGCACGAAGCTTCCTAGAGAGGGAGAGGGAGGGAGCACAAAGCTCCCTTCCCTTGTACAAAACCGTCACGCAGAATCATTTTGTATTGAAGAAAGGGAGCACGAAGCAAGACACTGGTCTGCTTATAGCTTCACAAATGATTCGTCGAGGTCCCATAATACATCAATTCCAAATTTCTAATATATATATATACACCCCACCTATATTGCAAACGTAACGAGCATGACATTTGTCACGGAGAGGACTTTAGTGTGCTAAAGCGTAAATGTAAATTCCCAATTTGAAAGCACGGTCCTAAATTTGATTCATCACCACAGGGAAATTTTTTTTTGCCGGAACCACAGGGAAAATTATATTCGATTGGTGCTAATTGAAGGCTTCAAAGTAGCAGGCCTGAATTCTAGATGACTTTAGAGGTAAAAGAAATGCATAAATACTTAATTTAGGTATTCAGAACGTAAAAAAAGAGTCTTCATCGACCAACGAACTTCAAAGCCAAAAAACCTCACTGCAGAAACTATGGATGGGTTTCTTCTGCCTCCGTGAGCTCACATGGGATTCAAACATCCCAAACTCATTTCTCTGTGGTATATATGCCAAAAACTCCTGAGGATAAAGTGTAAATCTAGTGAACGTAAACTATAACAGCTGGCATTCTTGCTCTATGCTTCGAAAGGAATGAAACACCATTGCAGAGGGTGTTTAGGAGACCCAAGATCAGGAGAATCATGGCAACCCATGAACTGATGCAGTGTGATGTCTCACCAACTGACACGCTATCCAGGAAGGGAATAGCCACGGAGGTACTTGGAATCGACTCCTGACTCACGGCACAGCGCAACCCTGCCAGTTCGTGCAATCTGCAAAAGCATGGCCAAAGGAGGGTAAAGGATCGACTACAAATAACCGTTCAAAAATTTGCAGTTACTAAACTACAATTTGCATTGGCCTAAGCACTCCACAATCGAGGAATAACTAATCCACTGCCAAACACAAATTATGGATATTATGGTGCATTTGCAAAGTGAACCGTTCAAGAGCTTCAAAAAAAAGTGAATCTTCAGTACGAACCTCACAGATGCCGTAGGGCTCAAGCAACCTTTGTAGTGCAACCATTTTATCAAGGTCTCCAGTAAGCTGCATGACAATAATGTTATTGCTTGTTAAGACAAATTATTGATGCCACTAACTATATTGTCCTTGCAGGACTCTTTTGCAAGATTCAAGAAATAGAGGAAAATGGAAAGGGTAGGATCGCAATATCCGGCCTTATTGAATTGTAGGATTAAATACAATAAGAATCCCAATGAAAGGGTGTTTGATTACGCCATAGGAAAAACAAGGAAATCATTGCACGAGCTTTGAGTTAATGGAAATGTTTCTATGTAATACCAGCAAGTGAATTCTTATGAGATATTTATATAAATACAGTTTATGTCAAATTTTGTTCTTCAAATGGATTACAATTATGTCAGACATACGATTTGCCGGTATAGCCATAGATACATGACACTGAAACAATCTATGAAGGCCCACATTGTTGCATATCTCTATTATCCAACTTAAATCAATATTAAGAAATACTACCATATATTTCAAAATAGCAGCAGATATATACTGAAATTTTTATCAGGCTAGTTGACAGCTATGCGGATAATGCTCCAAGTAAAGGCTGTATCTGATTAATGTTCATATTTCTGCTGTCTACAATCAACATGTCTAGATTGAATTAAGAAAATGCTTAGATAAAACCGACTGATTTATCTACCAACAAAAGAATATAAAGTCCTAAATCTAGTAGTTGGACCCAGGGTAAAGTAATTATTACCTGAAGAGTTATTGTGTGGCCTGATACATCAACCGTTTTGGCCCTGAAAACATCCTCAGCAATATCCAGGATTTCCCTGCGAGCTGAGGTGTTCCCAGCGACCTTTATGATCATTAACTCTCTAGCCGCAAATGGTAAATGTGTAAGATCTTGAACCTGAGAAACCAAGATGAATTTGAGTTAACCTTACATATGAAACAACAATCATAGAAACCACACATTGATAAGTTGACCTCATAAACATCGATGAGCTTGTAAAGTTGTTGTACTAGCTTGGCGATAGATTCATCATTTCCAGGAACGACAGTGGTGATGCGAGAAGTGCCCGTTTTTTCAGCTGGGCCAACAGCAAGACTCTGTCAAAGTAATGGATACAACTTTTAAGCATTTACTGCAACCATGTAACCTGCAATGATCTAACTGAGTCAACATAAGATATATATAAGCGGAAAACAAACCTGAATATTATAGCCCCTCCGGGCAAAGACACCCGTTACAACATTAAGAACTCCAGGGGAATCATTCACAAGGATTGACAAAGTATGTGAACAAAACCCTGTAGGCTAAAGAAAGAAAAGTATGCCAGTTATTTTCCAAATGGGTATTAAAATTGCAATTGTAGTTCAATGCAAACAAATATTAAGAATTTTAGTGTTCAAGTACACTTCAGGGCTCTTGCCACTAATTTTCAGCAACACAGCAGCTCTAGTGAAAGAAGAATGCAAGAACTTACATCACTGTCAGTCATGGCACCCCAATGAGCATCAAGAATTTGATTCATCGAGAAGCTTTCGTAAGATTCCACTGGATAAACATCGCCCTAGTAATAAGAATGTAAGATTATATAAAAATTCATACAGCTGCTGTTGCAAATTGGAGAAATAGAATTTGCAATAAAATTGTTCACACAAACATAGCCAAGGTCATTTCTAACCAGTGTTTGTGAAATTGTAGTTATTCTATAAGATAGCCAACTTCTTACTACTTTCAAATCAAGACTAACAATTCAACATAATGCTGGTATTGGGAATGATACAGCAATTTAAATAGTGCACCAACTTCTGCTTTTGTCCTAAACTGGTAGGCATAAATAGATAAATCTAGCTAATCATCACATCAGTATTCACTGCATATAAGGTGCACTTGCAAGGATCAATATTGGTAAATAATCTACAGAAACTATTTTGCCCTTACAAACACAGATTGAAAAGAATAATCAACAAGATCAATTCAGTAAAGAACAACTCTTATTATAAAGAATAGAAGTAAATTACGCGTGTTGATTTTCGTTGAATACATAAAAAGATTTTCACACAACACAATACACCAGGTCAAAATAAATGGAGACAGTGTTGTTGCAGTGCTGAAGAAAAGATAAATACATGCTACAAGAATTATATGAATGATAAGAATTATCATTCCTTACCTGGGATGATTCCTCAGAATCCCCACTGGTTGTCTTTGCAGTGCTTAGTGTAGATTTTGAAGGCATTTTTACTTCAAGATCAGGATAGGAAGCTACGGAGAATCTCCAAAAGGGAGCTGTCTGTCCCATTTTCTCACGCCGCAAAGCTATCTGTTACACTAGTATGGCCCATTAGATATAGTCAAGAAGAAAGCATGATATGGTATTAATCTTTCTAAGGAGTATAACCTTGCCAGTTCTGGCAACTTCTTTGATCCCGAATTTGCTCAGGTTCCTCTGTACAGCAGCAATTTTTCCAGGATCGCCAGTTACCTTTGGCATGACTCAGAAACAGAGAGCATACTTTGCTTTAATAAAGGACATACGAGTGATAGTGTAATTGTTCTGCAAGATACGACACATCACGGATTTTACCTCAACAGTTAGTGTATGGTCTGAAAGATCAACCACTTTGGCTCTGAAAATGTCAACCAAACCCATCACCTGCATGTATGAGTATTGAAATAAGCAAAGAATACCCAAACTGTACTTCCATTACCTCTCGGACTGAAATATTTAAATTGAGCACATGCACAGATTAAAATCTCTAGATAGCATGCTTGCAAAAGGCACATATACACTTTTACCTCGAGCCGCTGTTCTGGCTCTACGTTTAGTTTTATAAGCATGAGCTCTCTTTCAACTTGCGGTTCCTTTGACAAATCATCAACCTGTTCAATCAATATACAAGACTATGAATTTCAGATACTGCGATGACAGGAACAAGCACAGAAACTGACACGAGTGATTCCACTAACTACATGTTACTATTAGTTAGCAAACTTTTGCAATATTCACGGGATACTGGAATAAGAAAATGCTGACCTGTATAACATTGACAAGTTTGTAGAGCTGCTCGACGACCTGTGTAACTATTTTCTCTGTTCCTGACACTACAATGGTGAACAGCGCCTTGTCCTTGTTCAGCCCAACCGCCAATGACTCGATGTTGTACCCTCTTCTCGCGAAGACCCCGGCAATCCGATTGATCATCCCACTCTCATCCCCAACAAAAACTGATATCGTGTGGCGCTTTACAAACCTATACATAGAGGTTGAAGGGGGAAAGGAATCCTAATAGATCAATGGCAAGGCGCAGCGAAGAATCAAAGAATAAAGTCGCTCAGGATTCAAAAATGGTCCACGGAAAGGGAGAAGGCTTACGAGCGCCTGGGGTGGGGTGGCACCGGCGCGACGCCATCGGTGGCCGGAGTAGCGGCCGCCGCGGCGACGGGCACGAGGCGCGCCCTCGGTCTGGCCGAGATGGACACGGGCGGACGATGCGGCGGCTGGTGGTGATGGTGGGACCCAGTCCCGACCGCGGCGAGGTGAGGAGTTACCGCGGCGGCGGCGGCGGCGGCGGCGGCCATGGGCGGGACCGCGGAAGGGTGGAGGAGATCGTGAGGTGGTGGGGTTTTGGGGATGGTTCGGGTCCCGAGGAGAGGACGGTTGGCGTCGGCAGTTTCGGGCTGGGTTGGCTGTATCTGTGTGGGCACGGCCGGAATGGACTGTTCGGAAACGGTCCCGGCCGCAAACTTCTGTAGGCTTCTGGGCTCACTCCTGTACTAGTTTTTTTTAAAATATCACTACAGGCACAAGCGTTCATATACACACGCATACACTCATTCCTACTCACCTTATTTCTATGAGCATCTTCGAAAGACTGAGTCGGTATATCATCTTGAAATTTACGAAGTCATCCTAGGCATCTCGTCATCGACGCGAACGTCTCCTTTCACTGAATGCGCATCGCCGGAAATTCTGAAATAAATCCAAAAATAAATACGAGCACCAGAATTTGAATCTTGGTGGGTTGGGGATACCACACCCCATCTAGCTATCCAACCACAGGTTGATTTTTTTTTGACAAGGCAAATACTTTATTTCTCAAATAATAGCGAGATCATTTACAATAAGAAGAGAAATAAAGTCCGGGATAGCATCTTCCCAGAACTCTGAAGATTTATTTGCTATAGATGATTTAGCTATGCAATCAGCTACATCATTTGCTTCACGAGGGCATTTACTTCATATTTTGCATAGTCCAGCCCCATCTCTTTTATCTCCAGGAGAATAGCCGATTCATGCCCACGGAAAGCTTCGGAATTGAGAGCATCAACTCCATTTAGGCTATCTGAGTCAATGTGTAGTCTGTTGCAATCAATCTTAGCTGTTAAATAGAAACCATTCGGAATAGCAATCATCTCTGCCACGTCCACTGACACCACATGCGGTATGAATCAGGCTGCAGCAATAAACTCACCATGTTCATCTCGTGCCACTGCTCTTGTTCCTGCCAACATATTATCTGCACTAAAAGATGCATCAACATTAACCTTAACCGTTCCTCTCTGTGGCTTATGCCACATATGATCACGCTTCACCCCTGGCTGACTAGGTGTTAGTGAGCGAGTAAAATTTGTGGCTAGAACCCCTATTGGTATAGCAGTTTGGTGCGGCTGCCGGACTGTCTCGCCTTTGACGCTTTGTTGTTGTTGCCACCAGATGTACCAGCTGCCCACCGCGGTTAACTCGGCCATAGACAATGCGTTTTTTGTATCGTCTCGCTCTACAAGAGTAGCCAATGTGACTGAGCCCGACCGCTCTTCCGCTACAGCCTTCTGTACTTCTTCATCAAGTCCCAGCTCTTTCCAGATATTACTCGCTCTTTCACATGTAAATAAACAATGTTGTGCATCCTAAAAACATGTATGGCATATCGGGCATTGTCCCGTGACTGGTATATGGCGGCTTGCTAGAGTACCATAGCAAGGTAGGACTCCCCTAATTACCTTCCATACAAAGTGCTTCACTTTTCCAGGAATTCGGGCACTGTCCCGTGACTGGTATATGGCATCTTCTTCTTGTCCTCACTGTCCCCCACCAAAAACCTGCAATCTCATCTGTAATTGCCTTGCATATGTTCTTTGGAAGTTTGAAAACCGACATAGCATAAGAGGGGATTGCTTGAGCTACTGCCTTCAACAATATCTCTTTCCCCTTCATTGAGAGCACTTTTTCCTTCCAACCTTTAATTCTCTAGCAAATTCTATCAATAAGATGCTGAAAACAATCACTCCTATCCACCCCTACCATGGTGGGGAGCCCCAGGTATTTATCTGTTAATGCCTCAGTTAGAATATCCAGATTTGTACAAACCTCTTCTCTAACAAGCACGCTTGTATTTGGACTGGAAAAATGCTAGATTTAGGTGTACTTACACACTGTCCACTACTTCCACAATATACTTCCAGAACTCTCTTTAGTGTTCTTGCATTTTGGACATTTGCTTTCATAAGAATCAGCGAGTCATCTGCAAAAAGTAAGTGCGGCATACTCGTATACCTTCAATTCCTCCCACTTCTTCTTCATGAGCCAATAAGCTAGAAAGCCCTTCTGAACAGATTAAAAATAGGTAGGGAGATAGTGGGTCTCCCTGCCTTAAACCTTTGAAAGGTATGATCTCCTCCGTTTCCACTCCATTGAATCTTATTTTGTATGTGACTGAGGAGACACATTGCATTATCATTTCCACCCAAGCCGGGTGAAATCCCAATTTCAACATCATTTGTTTGAGGAAACCCCATTCAACTCGATCATATGCCTTCATCATGTCCAATTTTACTGCACACATCCCATTAGATCCATGGGCCTTCTTTTTTATTGCATGAAAGCATTCATAAGCTACCAACACATTGTCAGTTATGAGTCTTCCAGGAACAAAAGCACTCTGTGTTGGAGATATTACCTCTGGAAGTATCTTCTTAAGTCTATTTGCAATGATATGATTTTATAAACCACATTGCATAAACTAATCGTTCTATATTGTGTGATTACTTCCGGGCTATCAACCTTAGGAATTAGCACGATATTCGTTTGGTTCCATCCATTCGGTATTTTCCTATTATGAACTGCCTCTAACACCTCACCAGTAAGCTCCTCACCTAGGATGTGCCAGAACCGTTTGAAGAAAATAGCATGCAGTCCATCGGGTCCGAGTGCCTTCATATCTCCAATCTGAAAGAGGGCCTTGCGGACCTCCTCTCATGAGTATGGCGCTAGCAAGAGGGTATTCATCTCTGCAGTGACTTACGGTTTTACCGTATGCAGCAAGCCTTGGTCATATTCTGTAACATCGGAAGTAAACAGGCCAGAGAAGTAATTTGAAATAAGCGGGCTGAGGTTATCATTGCCCTCAACCCACCCATTATTATTATCTCTCAATTTCTTAATCAAGTTCCTTCTCTTCCTAGCCGAGGCAGAGTGATGAAAGTACTGGCTATTACGATCACCTCTATGAAGCCATCTAACATTGCCTCGTTGGGCCCAAAATAACATTTTAAACCGGACTTGGGGAAAATCTAGGCCAGAACATCAACCTATATCACAAGTCTACAGATCATTCAAGTTTATCATAATCAGGAGACTTGGGGGCTGGCAGAGCATGTAAGCTAATGAAAGTCGGAGAGCATACCTCATATTTTAGTTGCAGCTGTTTGACCATCTCAATTTCAGAGTCACGCCTGGAATGCACGTGACTAAGGTAGCCAGATAGCACATCACTAATACTCAGGTGAGCATAGTGAGAGATGTCAAAGCAAACTTTTTGCATTTCCAAAGCCTCTTGCTTGGCGGAGTGTCTGGCTAGTACAGTTGGATTGCCCGGCTCAACGAATCTACTACCAATGATTAGAACATCATTGTCATAAGTCGCCGGCGGGTTAGCTGAGCTTGATAGTTCAACAGTAGATGGATTGAGAATGGTTTCGTTAACAGACGGCTCAGGAGGATCTAATTGAACGTTCACAGCGGGGTCTTCTGGTGCTTCAGGTTGTCCCGGGGCAGGAGTCGGTAGGGCCGGTTCAGCGGCTTTCGGATCTTCAGTCGGCTTAGTCACCCTGGCCTTCTTGGGTTTTGCTTGACCACTAAGAAGAATTTGATGAGTCAGTATAATAATACGGACATAAAGATGCAGAAGAAGGCTAACTATCTTTACCCAGGGGCAGTCTTGAAAGCCGGAAGTTGAGTTTGTGAAGAATCACTAGAAGAACGAGAGACCTCCTGCAAAAGTGAAATCACAGTTAAAAAGAGCAAGGAAATAGATTCATTGATAAAGGCAAAAGTCAAAGGTGAAAGAAACCTCATTTTGGCGTTTCCAGGGAGTTTTCAGTAAGCCGGAGGGCAGTTCATTGTCGTCACTGGTCCGGGTCTGACGGCGGCTCTCATGTTGTTGTTTTTTCAAAAGAAAATGAGGATCTAGATAAGCCAAGGGGTGTGAAAACCTTACTTTCTGGGTTACCAGTCGAGGTTTCTGTCTTGGCAAAGGTTCTGAATTGGAGGAAATAATTACCTCTTCTTCTACTGTCTGGCTGGCCCCTGTGTCATCCTGGTAATAGTCAGTGTCAATAAGGTTGTTAAAAATCAGGCCAAGAGAGTCAAGGGCTACCTCCGACTCAGAGGCGTCATCCAGCTTGAGGAGATCAAAAGCAGTTGGTTTCTTTTTGGGTTTTCTAGTTGTCTTCTTGGCGGCTATTGCGGCGGCTCTGGCTTTTTTGGCAGCCTCATGATCATATTTGGCCTTCCAAACCTCAGATTTAGCCTGTAGGAAAATAACAGGTTGAAATTCATGCAAAAACTTAACTACTGAAGAAAAAGGAGTCAAGGGTATTTGTTGGGGAACGTAGTAGAATTTTAAAATTTTCTACGCATCACCAAGATCAATCTATGGAGTCATCTAGCAACGAGGAAAAGGGGAGTGCATCTACATACCCTTGTAGATCGCGAGCGGAAGCGTTCAAGAGAACGGGGTTGATGGAGTCGTACTCATCGTGATCCAAATCACCGATGACCAAGTGCCGAACGGACGGCACCTCCGCATTCAACACACGTACGGTTGGGAAGACGTCGCCTACTTCTTGATCCAGTAAGGGAAGGAGAGGTTGATGGAGATCCAGCAGCACGACAACGTGGTGGTGGAAGCAGCAGTGATCTCGGCAGGGCTTCGCAAGCTCCAACGAGAGAGAGAGAGAGAGGTGTTACGAGAGGAGAGGGAGGCGCCAAGGGCTTGGGGTGCGGCTGCCCTCCCTCCCCCTCCCACTATATATAGGACCCCTAGGGGGGCGCCGGCCCTAGGAGATCCAATCTCCAAGGGGGCGATGGCCAAGGGGGGGGGGACTTGCCCCCCAAGTCAGGTGGGGCGCCCCCACCCCTAGGGTTTCCAACCCTAGGCGCAGGGGAAGGCCCATGGGGGGCGCACCAGCCCACCAGGGGCTGGTTCCCCTCCCACTTCAGCCCATGGGGCCCACCGGGATAGGTGGCCCCACCCAGTGGACCCCCGAGACCCTTCCGGTGGTCCCTGTACAATACCGAT